GGGACGCAACCAATAAACAATCAACAAACTACCGGGTTTCTGGGTTGATTTGCATGGTACTACATGGCTTAACTATATTTTATTTTAGGGGTTAATTGGTAAAAATCGCACATAAATCATACGACGTCACTTACAACGCCGGGGACGGCAACTCAATTTTTAGATTAATTTTCCCGAATAAAATTAACTTCTAATGACGAACTATTGTCTTCAGTTGTCTTTGTTGGTCATTCAAATGTCATTTTATCTATTTTTTCGGTGATATTACCATTCTCAATAAGCTATAAAGCACCCACATAACAACGTCAAGTTAGATCGATCGGTGGGGCTTTGGTGAAGCCGGTAGGGTCAATTCAAGATGATAAGCAGTTTCATTGGACTAAATTCTTTCTTATGTTAACCACCTGCTTACCTAAGATTGTACTCTGACACTGGTTTCGAATGAAATAACTGACAACTTTGGTTTGTATCAATGTTTTAATAAGTACATAAAACTATGTCACAAATACGTATGCAAAAATGCACAGGGACACCACGCTGTTTTGTATTTTTCTTGAAAGCTGTATGCCTGATCACCATCATCATATGCAGTATAATAGATTCAAGTAAGATGTTTCAAATGATATACAAATGTATGCAAACTTACCTTTGGAACAGGTTTTTTTTTCAAGTTTTATTTACCTTAACGTCGACGTCGTCTTAGACAGCACCAGGATTTATCACACCAGGATTAATCACCACGCTGTTTTTGAATTTGTCTTGAAATCTGTATGCCTGATCACCATCACCATACACAGATAATGATTCAAGTAAATGTTAAAAATGATATAAAACTGTATGCAAACATGCCTTCGGAACAGTTTTTTTTTTCGAAGGTGAAGTGAATTAATTTTATTCAATGTCTTTTCAGATTTAGATAAAAAAAAATTACAAACCGTGACAGCCAAAAGGCTGTATACCAATGTATTACAAAAATAGCAACGTTAAACAGTTAAAAACCACCAAAATTTAAGAAATTCACAAAGAAAGTATTACAAAAATAGTTATACAATTAAAAAACACCAAGATTTAAAAAAAAAATCACAACACAAACAAAGAAAAAAAACCCCCAGGGATAAGAAGCACAGCACCAGACAAAAAACCAAATTAAAATGAAAAAAAAAAGGAAGAGATAAAAAATGCATGTAAAAAAACACAAAAATTAAAATAGAATAAAAAAAAAATGCCAAACACAATTTACGAAGACAGCCAAATTCTGTTATCATTTTAAGAGAGGGACTGTGAGCTAGCCAAACACAAGAATTATCACATGTGCCAATAAGAATGTCCAAGGTTATAATGAGTATCAGGCAATATAGGCCTATATAATTAATATAATAAAATATAGGCCTAACCAATTTTCATTCCTATCCTAATTAACGTGGACGGCGACACGCGAAGGAAGAAATGACGTTATATTTTACAAATGAGGGCGACATATCACATGTGTTTCGAATAGCGCAAAACAACAAAAATGGCGGATATCGAGCAGGTAAAAATAGAAATTACTTTACATTTTTTAATAATTTCAGCCATTTTAAATTGTTTAAGTGGTAGGCTGCTGATTTACGATAGTCTCTATTTTCTGACTGAAGTAAAACATAAGTGAAAAATGTACGTCTGCTGCGAAATATTTCAATTTCATACGAACCAAAGCAAAGTGAACACGGAGAAGTAAAGTAGGCTAGGCCTGGTCTGAGTCTGCATCAGCAATGGGGGGAAAGACGGAGAGATCGTCGAACGCTAGGTAGTCCGTCACATAGCCCCTAGGCTAGTACGATGAACAAAGTTGTTTTTCAGCAGCTTAGTTTTTTTTTTTTATTCGCGTTAGGGCTGCATACTATTCAAATAGACCAAATAGTTAATATTAAGTCTTTTGTGTCTTTAAATCAAATAAATAGGTCTATTTTGTGTATTTATTCTTTTGTAGGAGCTAGCCCATTTGGAGGCCCTGTGTAAACAATTGTATGAAACAGTGGACGGAATCCAGAGAGCTGAGGCTGAGAAAGCATTAGTGAACTTTGTAAACTCTCCAGATTGCCTTACCAAGTGCCAGTTGTTATTGGAAAGAGGCAGTGTAAGATACCATTTATAAAAACAAATCACATCCCCACTCTGATATGATAGCCAAACATCCAACATTAACTGAAATGTAACAATGGGAATACCCAGATGTTGAAAGTTGAAGGCTTACCTACTCAAGAATACAGACATTTTTTAGCAGGCATGACACAGATCTATAATACAAAATCAACATTTGACAATATTGACGTTGCAAGTTTCTTACATTTTCCAACAATTCTCTTGTAAATAAAACCAGTAAACCTGATTGTGTCTTGCTATTAAGCTTACCAACAGACTTAAAATCATCAGAAAGTTTAACAAATATGTGGTGCTGATAAACTAATCTAACTTTTTTCTTGCAGTCTGCATATGCTCAATTATTAGCTGCGTCCTCACTCACAAAGCTGGTGTCGAGAAATGCTCAAGTACTTCCGCTCGAGCAGCGTATTGACATCAGTAAGTTTAATGGTTCTCTTTCGATGTGTGTTTGCATCAGGAAAATATCATGGAAATGATGTTTGTCTTACCAGACCTGTTATACCGAATACTCAGTATGTTCCCAAATACAAGGGATTCAGTTGGGAATTGAACCCACAACCTTCAGATAACTAGCCTGATGACATAAACACTAGACCACCAAGATAGTTCTCAACAACTTTTTTAACATTGGTTAATAAAGTAGTTCTTCTACATTGATATCATTTTAAGTTAAGGTATTCCTTATCATTTCTGCAGTTTTTAAATATACTATTTTTTTTTCTCTCAGAAAATTATGTACTTAACTACCTTGCCAGTCGACCAAAGTTACCCTCGTTCGTACGTCAGGCATTGGTGCAGGTAAGATAATGCATTGACTATTTTATGATTGTTAACTTTTGACAAACACCATTAATAGTAATATACATTCTTTCCTTTGATACAGAGGTGTTGCATTTTCAATTCTACACAGAAAATTAGTGAGAAAATATGAAGGGACATATATGTAGCTTAATAATAATGAGATAATTTTATAAAGCATAATGTCTAGTTATGTGAATATGAATGAAATTTTTTTTAAATAGTTTATGTAAATTTATAATTTTCTTTTATCTAGTTGTTTGTTTCACTTTATCTAGTTGTTTGCGAGAACTACAAAATTGGGTTGGTTTGACAATCAAAAGACAGTATGGGTTTTTCGTGATGTTATGGAGGATGCTGGCAAGTTCTTACAGGTAACATAATATATCACTAGCCTGTTGTATATTATTAAGATAAGTGAGCACATATTAATTTGCATTTAGCTGGCATTGCCTTTAATTTGCTATTGTATTCACTACTGTATAATGCCAGTGGCAGATTTAAGAGCGAGCACCTCAGCCCCAACCCTGGTGTGGCTGAGGTGGTCTAAATTCTCTATCTGTAAAAGTCACTCACTACCTGGGCCCCCTCTATTTTGAATTCCTGGATCCACCACTGATGACCAATAAAATAAACTTGAACTTGCTTTAATAGTAGTTTTTTATTGTACAAGATGATAGATTAATGGCTACAGTATACACTGACAAAGTGCATTATAGGATATTGTATATCTTATCCATATAATAAGGTATAACCTCTACATACGGCAAGACTTTCTTTATACCTTGCTTAGCGAACCCGAAATATTGATGATTTCGAATAAAAATGAAATTTTATTTTTGGCCAATTAGCGCACCCATCGCCACAAAAAGTGGAAATTTGAGAAAAAAATTTAAGTTTAAAAAAAAAATTTTATTATGCCCTCCGCTGCCTTGTAATCTCCAAAGATAAAATATGTATATTTCTTCATAATTATATAAATTTGAAGCATTTAACCATCCTATTTTACATTCACCAATAAAATTTTATTTTTATTTTTTCCTCCGTCTGGATGTTTTTGGCAAAACTATTTGCTAAATAAGAAAACAAAATTTTATTTTTATTCCGCCCTCCTCCGATGATCTTTAAAAATATAAGTATGCGAAACAAGAAATAAAAAAAAGCCTCGCCTAAGGGGATAAAGACAAGTTAATTAACTGATGAAAACATGTGAGATTTGAGCAGAAAATAGAAGACTGCCAAAAATGATGTTCAGTTCACTATTGTAGTAAAATCAGCATCAGTGTGCTCCCTTGTATTTCCACAGAGTTCTGTGGAGCACTTTGTTATTGGAGTTCAACTTCTTTCGCAATTAGTCAGTGAAATGAATCAGGTAAGATGAAATATTTATATTAACTAAGCAACCAATTAAATATTAAATGTATAGTTTATTATTCATAAGCCATGTGTAATCTGAGATCACAAATTACTAATCCCACCATCTTTCCTGAATACACAATAACTCATAATATAACATAAATACTCATAATAATTTAAAATATATAAATACTTAAATTAAGTAACATTTGTAATTCAGATTTTACTAATATTATTCATTAGTATTTTCATTATATTAGCATATTTTATATAATTGTCTTGTTTGTTGCAGCCGGACACAATTAGGCCTTTAACAAAACACAGGAAAATTGCCTCATCGTTTAGAGATACAGTTCTTTTTGAAATATTCCAGTTGTCCTCTAGTCTTCTAAAACAGGTAAATGCATACCTAAAACCAGTAAATAAGTTCATAAACAAGTATATAAGTACATAAAACAGGTAAATACGTACTGCACACTGGTAAATAATTAAATGAGACAGTTAAATAACTAGATAATAATTATTATATACTGTATTGAGAATATCAACTTATTAACGATTTCTATTCCTTATATAGGCACTCAAGGAACATTTCAACTTTAGTGATGAAAATAAGGTTGGGGATTACTTTAATTGTTGTTTTATTTATATATTTATTAACATTAATTAAACATTAATTATTAAACTCTTACTAATTTCTTTTCACGTGATCTATTACATATATCACTGTTGTTGTTATTCTTCCTATTAAAATGCAGTTATATTATTGTTACTATTTTTTTTATTGCAATACTCCTTTTAATTTTTTATAAATTGTTGATTGTTTCTATCATTATATGTTTTTTTTCTGATTGACAGCATGCTGTCATGGATCAACTCCTTCGACTGGCACACAATTGTTTGACGTTTGATTTCATCGGTACATCTACTGATGAGTCTTCTGACGATATGTCAACAGTACAGATTCCTACTGGCTGGAGATCAGGTAAGGTCAAATGATAAACTATTGATGGAAATTATCTTTAAAATACTAAGTGATGAGCTCTGTGTGGACATGCCTCTTGTATATGTAAAACTTTAAGCTTTGTTCACACTCGCAGGCAAGTTTTACCTGACAAATAGATATGTACTTTAGTGTCATTTGTGTGAGCCTGTTGTTAATAATATTATTATTATTATTGATTTTTCAGCATTCTTGGACGTTAGTACTGTTTTACTATTCTTTGATCTGTACAAGGCATTGCCTTCAACTCTATCCCCAATGGTAAGTGAGTGTTGATTGGAGCTTCAGCTCATCTTTTAATGGAACTTTCTGGGTTGTCAATCAGGCTTAACAGCTGACCAATCAGAATGTGTTATTTGCTAGAGTGATTTTGGGGGCTCCTGGCAACACTATCCAAGAGGTGGGGCTTAACGGAATGGTTCATTATAGTGTATTTGAAGAAAATATGTTTCTAAACCTCAACATATTCATTTTCAGGCCATTTCTTGCCTGGTTCAAATAGCCTCAGTCCGGCGTTCTTTATTTAACAACGCAGAACGAGCAAACTTTCTGAAACACCTCGTATCTGGAGTCAAATTCATCTTGGAAAACCCTTCAGTAAGTATTTAAATCTCTTCAAATTGCAAGTTTACAATTCCCAAGTGTTTTATATTTTTTTCAATTACAGATTAAAATTCAATGAACGACAATAATAACTAAAGTTGAATATTAAAATGCTTAATATTGAATTTGAAATATTAAAATCTCAAATTTGCAAATGATAATTGCATGATGTATGCAATCCAACCCAAACATTTCTGTCTGGATGTCTATTATTCATTGAGCATTAAAAGATTCATAAGATTTGAACAAGTGAGACTGCTATTGATATAGCATTTGCTCTTGTATATGTTTTAATGTTTTGTCTTATTTTTACAGGGTCTGACAGAAGCAACTAATTATCATGAGTTTTGTAGATTACTAGCGCGTTTAAAGTCTAATTATCAGCTGGGGGAACTCGTTAAGGTTGATCTGTATCCTGATTTCATTCGACTGGTGGCTAAGTTCACGATAGAGAGTTTACAGGTAAGGAGACCCCATCAATATTAATAGTTTATTTTTCTGTTACATTCAACTGGAAGCTTCAATCTACTATGATGCTCCAGAAACTAAGTCTCATCATTATAAGAGATTTAGGAGCTGAAATACTTTTGTTTTAGTAAAGTGTTGTCCAGATTACTAAATTTTTGTTGACCAAAAATAAAAGAAATAACAAAAGCTATATATAGTCATGATGTGTTTATATGCTGTGTGTCCATGATGTGATGTTATCATGACCATATTTAGGAATGTCTTGTGTTTTTTTAACCCTGGATTCGGGGATTGAAATGCAAGTATTTTAACCACCAAGTTCAGTTCTATTCATATCAGTACCTTCCAATCTTAACCTCCTTCAATTCAATATTTTAAATTAATTTTTGTTAATCTGAGTTGAAGAATTATTTTGGAAACATAAAAGTAAAATTATTAATTTAGTAACAACATTTTTTTCCTCCCAGATGTGGCAATTTGCACCAAATAGCATTCATTATTTACTTACCCTGTGGCAAAGAATGGTTGCGTCCGTGCCTTACGTTAAGGCGGCAGAGCCTCATTCCCTTGAGCGGTACACACCGGAAATAACAAAAGCATACATCACATCTCGTCTGGAGTCTGTCACGATTGTTCTCAGGGATGGTGTAGAAGACCCCTTAGAAGATAGTGGAATGGTCCAACAACAACTTGATCAAGTTAGTAATTCTCATTATCTGAAAAAATTCTACATTTTTTGTCCCTTTAGTTGTTATGAGTTTTTAATTGAGCTGCCCTCATAATGATAACCCTATGGTGGTTTCTTATGACTAAATCAGTCAAAATACATATACCTGTAGCTTCACTGATTTGTGTTATTTTTCCTTTTTTAGTTATCTACTATAGGACGATGCGAGTATGAGAAGACGTGTGCGTTGCTGATGCAGCTTTTTGACACGTCTGCTCAGCGTTACCAGAAATTAATCCAAACGAACACAAGCGGACCAGAATTGGCAATTGAAGAAGGTAAACAACATGAAAATGTGGAACTAATGAATATTGAAATAGACTTAAAACATATTGGAACTCATGGTAATGGTTGGAGACTTATATAGCACGTTATTTGTGGTCTCTATTCACTGTAGAGAAAAAAAATAGCAAAATGTATTCTATTAGGTCAACTAAGTTAACCATTCTAAAATAAATATCCAAAACAGACCAACGCAGAGGAACCAACACTATCGCACTGTTCACCTACAGTTTGAGACCAGCAACAAGTTGTATTTAGCAAGTACTTGACTTACGAAAATTGAAATAAAACATATTGGCTTGTTTAATTTCAGGTCGGCTTACATGGCTTGTTTATATTATCGGTGCAGTAATAGGGGGCAGGGTGTCGTATACCAGTGCAGATGAGCATGACGCCTTGGATGGTGAACTTGTGTGTAGGTACGTAAAATCGACTTTCTTATTTTCTCTTGCAAAATATTACTTCGGAAAGGATAGAAATTTGTTAGATTCTGGTTGAATGTATAATCAAACTATTCCGAAATAGTTTATTATCCAACATTAAAGAAGGAAATGCATTCGAAATCTGACAAACATTTAAAATCACAGCACTGAATATGAAAATATATAATTATTATAAACACTGAAACATTTAAACATGTTAATGTGTACAAGAAAAAGCAATTTTATATACAGAATACATATAAAATAACAATATATTAAGAAGAATAATACAGTACATTTATGATTGATAGATCTAAATTGTGATCTACACATGCTTCTTTCAGAGTGCTGCAGTTGATGGATTTGACAGACGGACGATTGTCGCAAGGCGGCAGTGAAAAACTTGATATCGCAATGTTGAGCTTTTTTGAACAATTTAGGAAAATATATGTTGGAGATCAAGTGCAGAAAACCTCCAAAGTGTATAAGAAGCTGTCACAAGTGTTGAATATTAATGATGAGGCAATGGTGTTGAGTGTGTTTGTTGGAAAAGTGTAAGTACACATGCAATAAAGTAAGTCCTTGCCAAGCCACTAGGGCACATATGGGCTGGAGCTTATCCCCAGTTTCTGTAGCATGAAGCAGGATGAGAGTGTAATACTCCCCCTGGGTGGGACGTTGGTTCACCACAGGTTACACCTAACAGTTTGCTGGTACCCATAGGTACAACACGGTAGACTGAAGCAATGTAGATAAAGTGCCTTGCTCAAGGACACAAGCAAAATACACAGCTGAGATTGTTGGGAAACCAAAGCATTCCCACTGCACCAAACCGCTTCCACAAGTATACATACAACCACAAAGAAATATTTTTTATCCTGGTGTCGCAGGATTATAACCCAGGAATCAGATTTTAAGATTTGAAGTAAATACTTTAACCACTAAGACAGTACTACCCACTCCAAATGGGTAGTGAATATCACTGTAATATTGTGGATGGCTTAATTACTTTTTAATTCTCAAAATACTCCATAATCCTTTCTTTTATTTTGAATATTCAAACTTTGTTTTAAGCTTATACAAATTTTCTTGTTTTTAGAATAACAAACTTGAAGTTTTGGGGCCGAAGTGAGCCAATAATTACGAAAACACTGCAGTTGTTAAGTGACTTGTCGGTTGGTTATAGCAGCGTGCGGAAACTTATCAAACTCGATGCTGTTCAGTTTATGCTCCAAAATCACACAGTATGTATTTATTTGTTAGTAATAGTGATAGGCTTTAATAGGGGTGATACCACAATGACACATATCATATATGGCTGATGTTGTACATTTTAGACTGATTTGTCTTCTTTACAGAGCGATCAATTTCCATTCCTTGGTGTTAATGGGACTCTCTCTTTGAATGACATGAGGTGTCGTACCACATTCTACACAGCGCTCGGTAGATTACTTATGGTGGATCTCGGTGAGGATGAGCAGAGGTTTGAGAACTTCATGATGCCTTTGACTCAGGCTTTGGACTTCGTAGGTGTTCAACTCTCAAGTGCAGAGAAAGGTGTAGTGAGTTTCAACGAAGCACAAGCCAAGGTAACAATATCAATGAAATTTATTAAGCTAAAAATGGTTGGAAATACAAGAATATAGAAACAAGTCATTTTAACTCTGATGAGGAGCTCTAGAAACACTTGCTGATTGATTAATAGATCCTTTTTAGCTCTACTGCCTCTATTAAACTGCCCTCACAAGGCTGATTGATTAATAGATCTTTTTTTAGTTCTACTGCCTCTATCAAACTGCCCTCACAAGGCTGATTGATAATAGATCTTGTTAGCTCTACTGCCTCTATTATACTGCCCTCATGAAGAGCTCTAGAGACACTTGGCTGATTGGTAAATAGTCGATTGATTAATAGATCTTTTTTAGATCTACTACCTCAATTATACTGCCCTGATCAGAGCTTTGAGATTGCGAGAACTTTTTATTTGTCACATGGTTCCTAAAAAGATGGATTTTTTCTTATCCATGAGTTTCCCTGATTTAAAAGGAAGTGAATTGGTCAGTCCATCAAAAATGACTTTATTGCGTATAAAACAAATAATACAATTATACAGCAATCATGGCCCAAAAGGGGCACACGCAAGGAGAAACGAAGTACAGCATTAAGTAAACAATAAAAAAATAGCTCCACATTCCTTTACTCTTTTCCAGATAGAATATCAAATCCTTTTCCGGGCACAAATCTGTCATGTGCATGAGACCAATGACTTTCATACAAAGGTTGTTGATTTAACATGTTTTTGTGTTTCTATCAAACAGAGAACATTGATTGGTGTTGCACGGGATTTGCGAGGCATTGCTTTTGCGTTCAACACAATTACGAGCTACATGATGCTGTTTGATTGGATGTATCCTTCATTAATTTCTTACGTACAAACGTATAATCAAGACAACATTTATATTTTAATTATATTTAGAAGTATATAATAATTCTTGCGGTACACCACGTAGGTACTTCTGAGATGACTCAAAGACATTCTCAACCAACAACAGTTCTTTTCAGAACCATCTACATGATGTACCGCAAGCATTAATAAATTAGTTTTCCATGCAAACCTTTAAACAATATTTGTTAGCACTGCTGAAATGTTAATTTTTATGAGATTTTTTCTGTGTACAATTCTTTGACATATAACAACAGCTATCCTACTTACACACCCATTCTCCTGAGGGCAGTACAACTGTGGTGTCATGACCCAGCAGTGACAACTCCGATATTAAAGCTAATGGCAGAGCTTGTTCAAAATCGCTCTCAAAGGTTGCAGTTCAATGTTTCTTCACCGAATGGGATTTTACTATTCAGGGAGACTAGTAAAATGGTGTGCAGTTATGGTAAGTGATAATACTTCTGTAGATACAGGTTGATACTTTCTTGATTCCAAAAGTGTTGTTGCTTAACAGTTAGGTAAAATTAAGAATGAGACTAAAAAAAGAATGATTGCTGTATGAATCAATTTTTTTTTTTTTTTTTTTTCCAGGATCGTCAGTTTTGCAGCTTGGTGACATTCCCAAAGATCAGATTTACAGAATGAAATATCCTTTATTCTTTGGTAGTAAAGTGATGATAACTTTGGTAGATAGTGGTGATAAATATGATGGTGTGAATAATGGTGAGAATGATGGTGGTACTGAAGGTGGTGGGTAGTGATGATGGTGTAATGATAATATTGATCATGGTGGTGATGATGATCATCATCATCATGATTATGACATTGATTGTAGTGTAGATGGATGGGATGATAATGGTGGTGGTAAACTGGTGATGTTTGTGGTGGTGGTTGTTCTGGTGGTAATGATAATAATGATTACAATTATAATGATGATGATGATAAAAATGACTGACAACTTCTATTCATATATATATATTTTAATTGAATTAAATTTATTTTTCTTAACACATTTTTCTCACGTTAAAGGGAATTTCAATATGCTTCTCTATGTTAAAGGCAGCATTGTGTGGTAGCTACGTTAACTTCGGTGTTTTCAGGTTGTATAACGACACGGCATTAGACCTGTCTCTTATACACATCTAGATGTGTATAAGAGACAGGGTCAGGACCCATGATCCCCTCCTCCCAGATCCACCAATTTGAATTGCGAGAAAATGTAACTCGGTCGGGTACTGGATAAACATTCTCTTTCCCATCCTTCTCCTTCTTCCCTCCTTCTTTTTTTGCATTTCAGATCATACAAAGTTCTCCAGACATTATATATTTTTCGCCAAAAAGTGGGGGGGCCCGGGCCCCCCCGGTTCCGCCGCCCATGTAATGATAACATTGATCATGGTGGTGATGATGATGATCATCATCATCATGATTATGACATTGATTGTAGTGTAGATGGCTGTGATGATAATGGTGGTGGTGGTTGTTCTGGTGGTAATGATAATAATGATTACAATTATTATGATGATGATAAAAATGACTGACAACTTCTATTCATATATATATTTTTTAATTGAATTAAATTTATTTTTCTTAACACATTTTGCTCACGCTAAAGGGAATTTCAATATGCTTCTCTATGTTAAAGGCAGCATTGTGTGGTAGCTACGTTAACTTCGGTGTTTTCAGGTTGTACAACGACACGGCATTAGACGATGCGCTCTCTACATTCGTCAAACTCCTCATGTCATTATCTCAGAGTGATTTACTGGTAAATAGACTAAGAGAATTTCATTAAAACATGGGTAGTGACGGTGACTGGGTGGAAATAATTTGTGAGGGCATTTGGCACAGTGGTTAAGGCCCAGCCCTCAAACTACACGTCGGTGTTTTGGATTCAAAGTCAGTTTCTGTTTACATTTCATACATTGAAAGTAATTCTTTTGAAATGATTATGGTCAGATAGATAAGATATAATTAATTATATGGGGCTTGCCATGCCAAAACCATTATCGGTAACCAAAACATGAAAATTGACTTTATATTATATTCTTCACAATAAGCTTTAAAATGATGGGTCAATTACTGGAACTGACTTACTATTGCCAAAGTTATGAGTAAAAGTATTACAGCTTCTCTTATAGTAAAATATTTTTGTTATTTTGTTATTTGGTATTTATATAGCGCCTTTCCTTTGTTTTTCCCTGGTCATTGAGTCCGCATGCTTAAGTGTTGCTGCCATATTGGCGCAGTAACAGGCAACCCCACCAGGTACCCATTTATACTCCTGGGTGAAGAGAAGCAAATAAAGTGCCTTGCTCAAGGACACAAGCAAAATGCACAGCAAGGGATTGAAACCCTGACAATGAGGTTGGGAAACCAAACCGTTCCGCTGCACCAAACCTGCTTCGGGGTGGTGTAACAGTACTGCCATATTTTTATGCTAAGTACGCAGTTTAACAATTAGTGACAGTACGTTGGTTTTGGGAGGCAAGCCTCATGTAGTAATCATTTTGCCCGATTTAAAACAAACAAGCAATTGTACTACTGTATATTCAACCAATACAAAAACATGACGTTTTAAACAATAATTTCAAACATTCTATGATATATGTAGGATTATCCAAAGCTCAGTCAGTCGTATTATACATTACTGGAATGTTTATCGCAAGACCACATGGACTTCATCAGTAACCTTGAGCCGCCTGTCTTCCTATCCATCCTGGGCTCCATATCCGAAGGTCTTACTGCCTTAGGTAAGATCAGTCGCAACTTTCTGGGTAAAGTATAGAAAACCATTTCATAAACTTGATTGCTGGAATGCAGTGAATCACCTACTGTCCAAGCTTCTGTCTTTCAATTTTCTCAATGTTTTAACGCTAATAACATTTGTGTTATAACTTTATTTCTAAATGTTTTTAACACACCTCTGCTACTAGTTTCTGCCTTATAACAATATAGACAGTCTGAAATGTATGAATTTATGCCGGATACCGGATTATATCTGTCTAACTCCATAATATTATTTGTTATGTTCATTATTGTTATTCTTATTATTATAATCTTAATTTTAGCTTCTGCTAATCTTGTTGTAGCCACTATACATGCACTAAACCAGAAGGATTCTCTGTATGATTTTTATACCGGAATAAATTGATTTAACAAAATTGAATAAGAGTTATTATTTATATGCCATTTCCGGTGGTGGGTACGACATCGCAAAATGAATGGATTATTATTCTTTGTTATTTCTTTCATAGATACCATGGTGTGTACAGGGTGTTGTGCAACTCTAGACCACATTGTGACTTATTTATTCAAGAAGCTATCGAAGACGGCCAAGAAACGTCCAGGCAGCCAGCTTCAGAACACATCTTTCCTTAGAATCTTAGAATTACACCCGCAAATATTCCAACAGGTAAAGCAGGTTTTTGTGTAAGGTTACAATTTAATTGATGTAGGTTAACAATTTTTATTTATTTGTAGAAAGGATTGTGTAAATTTTTGAGAACAGCTCTTAGTCAAATGATAATACATCTTAATTTAACACATACATATAAGCATATTAAAATGTGAACATCTTGGGAAGGCCCTCATGTCATTGGCTGTGTTGCAGTCTATAACTTCATTCATATAGGCCTGGTTACTATTATTCATCTATTATAAAGCAATTTTGCATGCTAATTATGGCTGGGCCTTTTTAATAAGTGTGGTTTTTATTTTTCAGATGCTGTCTACTGTACTTAATATCATAATGTTTGAGGATTGTCGTAACCAGTGGTCCATGTCTCGGCCATTGCTAGGCCTTATTACACTCAATGAAGAGGTTAGTGTACATGTCTTTATATCTGAAAAATAATTTAAATGGTAGAATGATTAATTCATTGGTAAAATGATTGATTGAAGTTACCGGAAGATTTGTCTATAAAAACCTGCACTAAAAAAAAAGATATGAAAGCCAGTTGAAATGAAGGTACTATGCAGTAATACATTGAATGAAGCCTAGGATACTATCTTTAAAACTATTTAGAGATACAACTTTGAGTAATTGATTGGTTTTCAAACACTCAGATGGCTGGAAGAAAAAATAGCTTTACTGTATTTATGATTTATATTATTTATAATGATTATTACATTATACTATTAATGTTGAACTCATTTATTTTCTGAAAACTCACCTGGATAAACTGAATAGTATGAGTAAATGAGGTTGACAACGTGGTTATTTTTTATGAATTCCCTGGGTCAGGCTGTTCTATTATGTTTTGAGGGGTGTTTTTGTTAAGAAATCAAGGGCATAAGTAAATTTATCCAGATGTGATACCCATTTGTGCAATCTCTTTTAGTACTTTGATAACTTGCGCAAGACAATAACAAGTGCACAGCCTCCAGAGAAGCAAGAAGCCATGCATCGGTGCTTTGAGAATCTTATGGAAGGCATTGAAAGAAACCTACTTACAAAAAATAGAGACAGGTATTAATCTGCAGTTTCTTCTCTATTTTTTTCATAGAATAGTTGTCTAAATCTAGTATATAATCTAGCAGTAATTTACTGTATCAACAGATCACAGACATATTGATGTATTTAGTTCTTGTTATAGAGATCAACATTGTAAAGGAATACAATTGACTGATTTAAATACAAATATTTTTCTCTACAGGTTTACTCAGAATTTATCAATATTTCGAAGAGACGTGAATGACTCGTTGAAATCTACAGCCACTACCACAACAGTAGTAATACAAAACTCGGACATGATGAGTTAAAACTGACTGCTAGCAGCTTCAAAAGTTGCTAAATTTTCATTGTTTATGTCCAAAGAAGAACATAGTTACTTTGCCTTGTATTCAACACCCGAAGGGCTTGGATTGGCGCACAGTTAATCATGGATGAATATAACAGTGGGAGTTGCCAGGAATGCATCGAAATGAGGAATACTAACAACAATGTTTAAAAATCAAATATGGTTTATCATAAACCAGTGTACCACAATGGAATGGAAGATTGCTCACTGTCTCCTAACCTTTAGTGATTATCTGCAATAAATGTGTTAAATACTGTTCGATAATAAACCATCCAAAACTGTAGAGGGAGCTATATAGACTGATAAAATCAAATTTTGATGTATGCCAACAATTGCTAGCAGCTTGAAAATTGAACATAACATTGATAATCTTCAAAATATGAATGCTGCTGTTATCAGAAATAAAATGAGCAAATGCATAACAATTTATGATTATTTATTGATCAAGCCTTTAATTTTCTTTTCTTCAATCTACTCACATTGGCTAACGGTCAAGCGCAAAAATTTAATTGGACATAAGTTAATTCTGAATTGCAAAACGTAATACATTGAAGATTGAGCCACCATTTTCTATGAAATATATTTAGAAATTGTAAGTTTATGTCAAATTATTGTGTTGATTATTGGTCTGCATCAATCAGGCATATTATTCTGAAATTTGTCCTTGTAAGTGTACATGTTTGCATAGTTGTTTTTTTACATGTAGTTAGGCATTTTCTCTTTTCAAAAAGAAATATTTTCTTTCATGGTTAATTTTCAACACTCAGTTCAATGTTACGTCGTTAAAATGGGATATTGAGTGAATTGATATGCAACCAGTCCCATTCACAGCTGTTATTTTATATGTTTTGATAATATAATTACCAACAAAAATTTATATTTACAAATCAGGGATTTCTCTTTAGATTCAATGTTGATTGTAAACTTTTCAGAACAGTATTGTTGATGTTCTAAAAATTATCAAATTTTATGTTTTTTAGATCACAAAAATTGTCATACCTATTATTATGCTTCTGAAGCTATGTTTGTGTAAAGGTTGGGTTTCGGTAATTTGTCATCTAAATCAGGGGCGGATTTAGGGGGGGGCCGGCCCGGCCCCGGCCCCCCCTTTTGGGAGGTAAAAAAAAAGAAAAGAAAAAAGAAAAAAAGAGAGAAAAAGAAAAAAATGATAGCCCAGAATGCCTCAAATGTTATGTTTGGGCGTCTAGAACACAAAAATTTCGCGGGGCATGCCCCGGACCCCCTACGACAGTGTTGTCTCAATCGGCCCAACTTTCGGCCCCCCCTTCCGGCCCCCCCTTTCGGACATTTCTGGATCCGCCCCTGTAAATGACAAGAAATGCTGATTTGATCTGGTGTAAAACAACTCAATACAGTGGACCCAATGAGGGTCAATATCAAGAAACATTTGATTTTTATATATATATTTTAACAGACCTGCATAAACGAAGTTTCCACTTTTACAGATTGTTAGCTAAACTGCAAAAACTTTTAGAAATAATTTGAACGCTTCTATTTTCAGTGGTGTAAGAATTGGCAGCCCAAAAATTTATATTTACAAATCAGGGATTTCTCTTTAGATTCAATGTTGATTGTAAACTTTTCAGAACAGTATTGTTGATGTTCTAAAAATTATCAAATTTTATGTTTTTTAGATCACAAAAATTGTCATACCTATTATTATGCTTCTGAAGCTATGTTTGTGTAAAGGTTGGGTTTCGGTAATTTGTCATCTAAATGACAAGAAATGCCGATTTGATCTGGTGTAAAACAACTCAATACAATGGACCCAATGAGGGTCAATATCAAGAAACATTTGATTTTTATATATATATTTTAACAGACCTGCATAAACGAAGTTTCCACTTTTACAGATTGTTAGCTAAACTACAAAAACTTTTAGAAATAATTTGAACGCTTCTATTTTCAGTGGTGTAAGAATTGGCAGCCCCATAGATATATATTAGCCCCATTTATGCTATTGTGTTATTTATTTTTAACTTCGTACAGTACAACAGACCCATATCATATGGACTTGCATATCAGTGATTCTGTGGTTATGAATTTGTGTTTTTGTATAAATTGAGGTGCATATAATGAATTAAGTTAGCTTAGAAAATGAAAGAATATGTGTGAAGTGTGGAGGGAAGATGAAAATCATTAAATTTCATGTGGCAGTCAAATGCTTTGTATTAGTTTAAAACAATTAGTTAAAATTGGCCGTAAGGAAATGACTATTGAATATCATGCTTTCACAAGTAAAACAAACCTAATCATGCTTTTGATAAATGCTTTTGTCAGTGTAATTATAGAGATATTGTGCTATTCAAAAAAAAAAAAAAAGCTGTGGATTAAATTAATCTGTTTCCTTATAAGCGGATATCGGTTGTATTCTGTACTCACCAATAGTTAATAGAATCTCATTTTTTTACTAGGACTTTTTTTTGACAATGTGAGAATGGGTATACAATTTTTTCAATAAAGGATCTGTAAAGAAATACTATATTGAAGAAAAAATACAAGTTTGTGTGCTGCTTTATTTCTTTCGATGTGATCTCTCAATGAAGTTATTGATGCTAACTGTCAGTATTCTAAAAACTCAAAAATTCAATTGGTCATTGAAAAAGATGGTCAAGGTTCCGGCATTTTCATAGTGTCTTCGGCAGTAAAACTCTCTCAAGGCGCTTTTAAACTAGTCAAAAAAACCACTGTATATAAATATTGGGGAAGGGTGCACACCCCTGATGGCAGGCTATCACTACCTTGGTTAAATAATCTTATCTAAATAGAAACGGATTAAAACAGATCATCGCACACACTCATCTCCAGAGCTGCAGGAAGCAAATAACTATATTGAGATTACTTGTAAAAATAAGAAATTAAATTATAAAGAAATATTGCATAGTCTATTAAGACTGACGATGACCTTTGAAACGTGGCGCCTTACAAACGAAGATATAATGAACAATTTAGATTACAATTGCGAGGCATCAACCAGGTAGTACATGTACACACGCTGGCCTTAAAACCGATCAGATTTTACATTTAATCTAATATGACAATCCTTTAATTATTAAACAAATTATGCAAGGAATAAAGTAATAATATAGGAATTTATACAGCGCTTTGTATTTTAATTTCAAATTTCAATCCATAAGTTTTATTTCCAAAACATGTATATAAACATAAGCAATACAATGGAAAATAAAATTTGTATTTTGGAAAAAGGTCACCACAAGAAGCAAAGCTTTGAAACGTGGTGCCTTACAAACGAAGATATAATGAACAATTTAGATTACAATTGCGAGGTATCAACCAGGTAGTACATGTAGTATACACAATATCGGTAATAATATAAATATCTGATAATAGAATGGGAAAAAAGAAAATAATAAAAAATAATGCATAATTATTAATAATACTAATAATGATAATAATAATACTGTAATAATAATAATCCTATAATGTGCATAGACCTCGTATGATTATATTTGCACCGCATTGGTGGCCAATTATGTTCACTTGACGTGAATATCAGATACCCTGTCCTTGAATGTGTTAAATAATAATAATAATTTTTACCATGATTCTGGTGATATTATTACCCCTGATCAAACCAGCACAAAGTGCAACTTCCTCCACTCCCTGGGGAGTATTCCAATTGAATGCCACATCCTACCATACTTTATATTCGTGGGTGGAGAAGGCAAACGTTGGTAAAGTGCCTTGCCCAAGGACACAAACGAAATGCACAGTAAGACACCTGAAATGCAACTGCTGTGCCAGAATTTGGCCAACAGGACAGCAGATTGTCCCCAATAAGATGAAAAGGGGCGTAGTCAGTGGTTGCTCAGAACCCCTTAGAGGGGGTCCAAACTCGCCCTGGAAGCTATGACAAGTTAGGGATTTTCAAAGCCTTAAT